AACCCATATTTATCTCCTGACAGAGAATTCTTCAGGTTGATAACGCTTCCCTTTTTGTTATCATAGAAATCCCTCCTCGAGTGTGTAGAATCATAAATAGTGCGCAAATAGAGAAAGATAACTAAATATAAAATAACTTTAAAATACAGATATCAGGGATTTCGCCGCGTACTTCTGGAAAATAAAAAAGAAAATATGGACTTGTATCCGTAAAATAATTAGTTGTTTTATTTCCCTATCAGTGAAAAATAATTTATTGATAATTCTGTAAATTGACGCTCTACGTCTGCTGCAGATCATCTTCATACCAAAACAGTATGCAGCATAGTAGGTAATAATAATGAATCTGATTTCCACGTAAATATGTGTTTAAGGATAGTAAGCAGAATCTGTATAATCCCAGATGATCGTAGAATTAAATTGTAATAGATAATCTTAGCCCGAAGAAACTATAATGTTTATATATTTGCATTAAACGTAATTAATTTTTCAAATGCTCACCTATCGTAACTCTGTCATAGAACTGTTACAATTATGTGACTAAATGTATATGCAAATATAAGAAATTGCATAAGTGTATTCTTTCTTTTGTTACTCAAATGTAACCTCATAATTCTCATTGAAAGCTAAGAATCAGAGAATTCATAGTTTTATGCGAAATCATCCCTGTTCCAAAGAATGATAATTATTACATGATAAATATTCCTGTCCGTCCTAACCGATACAGTGAAGAATCAGATAATAGCAATGGTGCCTATTGGTAAACCAACAGAACAAGTACAGCTCAGATTGAATTCAGGCATGAGTAATAAGTAACCTTAGAATAACGCACTACCTTCCAAAAGGGGGGATTCATCCATAAGATATCTAACTGGAAGTATAGTTCCAAAGCAAAGAAAATCGCCTTACTATGTATATTTCAATCTTCTCCTTCCTTGCATACCCGTAGAAACTATGTCATTAGAAAGAATTATACTATACTGTGATACAGCATAGATATATATAGGGACTACCAACCTACGGATCATTTATAATAGATGAATATTATTGTAATAATTTTAACAAAAACTCCTCAGAAGTTAATTACTGGATTACAGATTTTATTATTTTCCTATCATTGACATATCATTATGAGAAGTTGACATAGAAGATAGTGAAGGAGGCACACAGAGGTTATAAGGCAAAACACCATTTATGCATGAGAATAGCACACAAATATATCTATTCAATAATATAGGGGGAAGAGTATATTATAAATAAACGTGGTCACGTTTCCTTTATATTTTTATAATAAGAGAAACCTCCCGGAACGAAATCAAGAAAGGATGCAAAATTCTATCTTGATTCAAAAAGGAGCTTAAATAAATTGGAAGATATATGAGTGAAGGAAGCCAAAATGTGAATATATGAGTGATTCTCTATATGTCATGTATCCCTGATGTTAACATTCCACCTTCAATGCTGAAGAAGTGTCAAGTTGACTAGTCTATTAGGATACATATAGAAGTATTGACTAAAATTATTAGATATAGGCTCCTATCGTAGATACAGACAAAATAGAGTTAACGAATAAACCTTAGAAAGAATATAAGAAGGGAACCAGTGTAAAGACGAATATTATTAAATGGCAAATGGAGCCACCGAATAAGTGCCTCCTTCCGAGCACTTCCCAAGGGTAGCACGAAAACAGGAATAGACCTCAGGAAGGCTAAGTCTCAGTGTGATAAGTTAGGCATTACAATCTCAAAAACAAGCAGGAGTACCAAAAAGGAATCAGAAACCAAGCAGCAGCAACAACGGACCCCAGGGGATGAAAGGAAAGGAAGGACAATAGGAAGAAGAATCAATGACCAGGGAACATTACGAAGTGCTGAGTGAAATCAAGAGCAATAGGATCTGAAAAGTGGACTCTAAGCTGTCAAAATTACCAAGAACACGGTAGAAGTATAGAGTGGGACAAATCGCCCTTATCTCCAGCTCTGAAGGCAGGAGCCTAAAACAAACAGCAGAACAAATGACAGCCCTAAGGATTAATCAATGGAAAATAAATCGTGAACGTAAACAGTAACACCTGAGCACTGATGCATAAATCATAACCCCCTGAATAATCAAGCCTGACGCAAGGAGGCTAAACCAAGAAGCCTAAGTTGTAAATCTGAGCAATAAACCCTAGATCCTAAAACCTGGTCTAAGGATTAGAGACTGCACCATAAATCTTAAACCGTAGAAGAAACACCTGACGAACGCAACCGTATACTGAGATCGCTGAACCCAGCGCCTTACACATTAGTCCATAGATATATAATGTCCAGCATATAGTGTGAAGCGTAAATCCAAAATTTACACCCAACAACGTAACCCTAGGACGTACAAGATGGGATATGAATCGTCAAGAGTAGGCAGTACACCAGGAGCGCTAAACCCTAAGGTAAGGGGCATAGAAAGTCATCCGAGACATCTGGACACCTGACGTATACATGCTAAAACATAAGAATAATCTCAAAGCCATAAAAGATAAACCCTAGACAAGGGAACAAGTAAACCAGAATAATAAGAGGTAAGAACTAAGCCGTGAGAAATAGACAAAGAACCTTGGAACGAGACCTTTAGACCCTCGACACTAAGAAACTAAAATCTCAGAACTCGTTCCTCAGACTTGAACTATGCGCGCTGAAAAGACATCTAATCCCTACCAAATAACACGTAACCTTAAACGTGAAGGATAAATCATCGCATCGTGATCCAGGAGGGATAGAGTATCAGACTTGAACAATAGAGCCCGATTAAACCCTGAAGCCCAAAAAATAAGCACAAAATGCGGCAGAGTAAGTCTGAAGTCTAAAAATCCAACGTGATAACGGAAATCTGGAACGTAAACCCTAGACCCTGATCCCTGAACCCTAAACCCTAATCCGTACCCTGAACCTAAACCCTAAACCTAAACCTAAACCCTAAACCCTAAACCCTGAACCTAAACCCTGAACCCTAAACCCTGAACCATAAAACCTAAACCATGAACCCTAAACCCTGAACCCTAATCCCTAAACCCTGAACCCTAAACCCTGAACCTTAAACCCTAAACCCTGAAGCCTAAACCCTAAACCCTGAAGCCTAAACCCTAAACCCTGAACCCTTAACCCTTAACCCTGAACACTGAACCCTAAACCTTAAACCCTAAACACTAAACCCTGAACCCTAAACCATGGACCACCACTCAACCCCCCGAACTGGGACTCCTAAACGCTATCGTCTAAACCCTTGAACGTCAACCTAATCCCTAGACCCTAGGACTTAACCTGAACCCGAAACCCTAACCCCTAAATCTCGAATGTCCAACCCCAAAATCGCAACCATGAAAGCTGCGATTTTTCCTCTTCCTGTTTGGACCCTAACGCCAAGTTGGAACTCTAAGCATAACACTCGAATCCTAAAGCGAGCTCGGAAGTCTGCTCACTTCAAGATTCCTCTGTATCTACTAGATTGTTATAGACTAAACCTGAATCTTGAAACAGCGGATCGGAATGACTACTTCAGAAGTAGACTCAATAACGAGAATATCTAAGACCATTGTTAACGCTGGCTGTCGGTTTTGTTCGCATTTTGAATTTCTCCTTCCAAACTAACTAGGTGGTTGACAGGATTTTCTTGATGAGAGGGGTAAATTTCCGCGGGCGTAGTTGAGTACGCCCCTAGAGAGGTTTGTCTATCACTCTCATGCTCAGAAGCAAGTCTAACTAATCTTGGCTCCTCCCAGTCAGAAGATCCAAATACCCGAATCCCCTGAAGGGTCGTTGCGGGACGATCTCCTTCTTTCTTAAATTCCTTTGTCGTGTGATATAGAGTTCTTGGTGGTCTCGTCTGCTGCTTGGGGAGGTCGGCGCCTTGCTGTTCAGTCCTCTCACTGAAGACTGCATAAAACGCTGGGGTACGTATTCGCGGGTTGATGAACTTTTGTTCCTCGTCCCTGACCTGCCGATCTGGTCAGGAACTTGTGCCCACTTACTACAGACCTCCCACTGGAGTTGTCACTGGAGCTCTACGCTCCTGCTGGTATGATAGTGGTTGAAATTTTTGCTTCTGGCCGATAGTAACCCTCTTTTCGTGGTTTGGGGGGTCCCAAAGCCCCAAGTGAAAGTCTCACGTCTTGGAAGTCACGCCTCTGGGTTTATCCCGTCCAAGTCTTTCACGAAAGCAGTCCCTTGGTGCTCGTCCTTCTTCTCTTGGATACTCTCTTATCACTCAGACGTGCCGTGAGTCCTAGAGGGTTCTCGTCTTAGCAGTGGAAACCTTGAGAAGTGCACTGTTCCCGGAGTTCCTGGAGTTGTCGGTCTCTCTTGCTCCGTGTTTAAAGAAGTTCGGAATTCGCGATTCTGCTTGTTTGGTACTCTTAAATGAACTCCGCTTTGGGTCGGTTCTCGGGGAGATCCGTCTCCTCTGAGCAGGACGTGCATGCACCCGTGGGACTGGGCTGGTGGTAGTTCTTCTGCTTCCGGTCGGTGATCTAGTTCTTTTTCGTGGGGTGGGGCTACCCTACCTAGAGGTTGTCTGACTCTCGGAGACTACCGGCTTAACTTCCTCTCATCATATATTCTCACCTCAGTCCGCTCCGGAGACTAACTCTTAGTGGTTACCCTCCAACGCTTATTCCTCTCTTTTGACTTCTCATTGTTCTTTGGACATGCTTGATAAATTCCTTCGTCGACTTCGTTCTCCTTGTCAGAGAACTCAAAGACCTCCGGTGTTGTCCGCATGGAATAGTGCAGTATCCTTCATCTGGTGTAGTGCTTGGTTCATTCTGGTGCCAATGTCTTTGTTCCCCTTCGGGAAAGACTTTTTTGTCCTGTTTCTGGTATCCGTTATTCCTTGGTCGTCCTGTCCCCATGACTCGGTTGAATTTGTTCGGAGAGTTGGCTCTCAATTTGGTGTGGCCATGTACTTCACGATCTTTCTCCTTCTTGACTTACTCCTGTTCGTGAATCCCGAGTTGACATTCCCATATATCCGATATATACCATAAGCTGAACTAATGAACATCACAGCAATGCTAATCCCTATACCTATCGCCCCACCCCACCCTAGGGCTGGTCTAGCGGATCCTGCGTCGCTTAATTTTGCTCCTGCCCTCTCTGTCTTCTCGTTTTCTATCTTTTCCTTGGACGCTTCGTAATTTGATGCTGTTATGGAATCCGCCTCAGGTCCTTGGGCCTCCCAGGCTTGATCCGGCTCCCGTGAGACTTCTTCCTTTGGGTCACCTTTCCTTCCATTATCGGTTTGTTCTGAGTTGTTGGATGTCGGTGATTCTTTTCCTTGCTCCGTGGATTCTATAAGCTGCTCCGTCCTGGGTTCTGAAGACTCTTCTGTAATTGGTGATTTAGTTGGGGTGTCAACTCCTCGTTCCTCTGCTTCGTCATCTTTGACATTCCTTGGTCTGTCACTTTCCGAGTGTTCAGTCTGGTCGTGCTGTTTCGGGTTCCCCAGGTTGGGGGCAGCTGTTGTCTCTTGCTGTGCTCGACTCTCGACTTCGCGAGTTCCGGATTGCGGGGGGGGTTGATCTTCTTTTTGCATGATTTCTAGGAATGGGTCCTCAGGTTCGCTGTGTATTATGCATACCTCTCCTTCTGTCTTCTTCCTTGTACAGAACAGTTGCTGGCCGGTGGCCAGGGGCACGAGGTCGCTGAAAATCTGCTCTAATCCTGGGTTTGGGCAGTTGGGGCATAGGGTCCTCAGAGACCTCGCTACACTCACTACTATCCCTAACGCCTCGAACTGGCACTCTGCGTAGTGATCTTGTGCTTGGCAGACATTGTACGGCTCCCTCACGATCTTCCATCCATGTTCTACTGCTACTCTGCTTCGGGGGCCTGTTCTTAGGAATCTCTGCTTTATGCTTCCGCATGCTCGTTCGGTTTCGTCCAATTTGGTCACTAATCTGTCATCTCCCCCCCATAACCAGTAAATTATACAACCAACTAGAAACAACATCTTCTGGCATATACTGTCCTCCTCACACTGTATCTCGTCGCTTTGGTTCATCATAGACTTCCAGTGCCTCCTCTCAGAAGGACCCAGATACCTGTCCTGCTTGCTATCATTCGTCCGATCCTTATCCGTCTTTATACACTGCTGCACGACACTATCCAAAACATCCTCCCACGTGACTGGTTCCCTGTCCGTCGTGGTAACCAATACCCCCTCCTTCATACCTTCCTTCAACTCTCTGTAACTCCTTCCTTTGGTAATCAACGTCGGTAACCAGTTGCCGATCCCTGAAGCTGGCCGATCCTTCCCTGTTGGGACCTTTGGTAACACATAATAATATCTTCGATTGTTGTTGGCTCCTCCTCGCTTTGGCTGGGGAAACCTCCTCCCCGTCGGAAAGGTCCACTGGATCCTGTCTTTGTCGGTCATCTCTTTTTTTCCCTGTCAGCCCTTAAAGACCATTGTCCCAGTTGTCCCTCCTCGTGTCAGGGGGTTCACCCGCGGACTCGTTTCTTGAGTTTCACTCCCGATGGGATGCGGTCCTACGCTCTGGGTGTCCTCTTCAGTTATCCCCGGGTCCGAAACTAAACATCCCCTCAACTCCGAGGTTCTTGTCTTGTTTGGTCCTTGGGGCCGGAATCTAGTTCTGTTCCTACTTTCCGCATATACCCCATTCCTCGTCCCAGTTGTCGTTTCTGGGGGTTGTGCTGCCTCCTAGAGGGCGTCCCTCGTAGTGAGATTTCTTGAAAGTTTTTACTTTTCCCGGCACTTGTCCGTTCCCTGGCCTTCTTGTTTGCAGTTTGTCCAGAAGGCTTTTGGGGATTTCATATCCTCCCTGACGTTGTTTCTCTGTTCCTATTTCATGGACCCACCCTCTCTCCTCCGGGCTACTTGCTCCTTCACTCTTTGATCTCCTCTTGCTCACCGCACCCTTGGATTTCTTCGTTCTGGCTACTGCTGTCAGGCGCCTGGGGGATTTAACCCCTTTAACCTATGGTATCTTCACTCCTCCTTCTCCCTCCCTCTTCTACTTCGGGGAATGATTTTGAGTTGTCCTTTCTCCTGACTGACGTGTTCTCCTGGACTTACGATCATCTCCTGTTCCGGCCCCCTGATTCCTCCATCTCACTACACCCCATCGGACTTATCCTTGGGTTTCGTCGGTTTCTCCGGCCCGTGTTCATTCCTTCCTCTATCAGAACTCCATCCTCTGCTTTTTCAGTTTCTATTTTCCTCCACAGTTGATGAGCCTACTCAGACTCCCCCCTGCTGATCTCGTCCCTCTCCCTCCTCCCCTCAAAATCTCGTTTGGCTTCCGGGCACACGATACCTTTTGTCGCCCCACCCCGCTTTCCTCATCTTTTGGTGTTGGATCCTCCGGTTGGGCGGAGCTATCCTCCCTATATTTTGGATTGCTCCTATCTCCCTCCGCGGGGATGGGGCTTGATGTATCCCTTCTGTTTCTTTTTCCTCTTATGCTTGGAGATGCTGGGGGGCTAGGTCCTTAGTTGGAAGTTTCTTGTCGTTCCGCTGGGTTCTCCGATCCCTTGTGTTGAGTTTGGTTTTTTATTCTTTCACATGTTTGTTCCGCTCATGAGCAGGAAGATTCACCTAGTCGCCTCTTGGCGTCCCGAACACTCCTCTTCTTCAGAATTCTTTGGAGCTATGCCCTCCCAAGAGTTCTCAACTGCTTATGTTGGTTGGTTCGATATCTCAGCCTCAGTTCCCCCTTCGCTTGAGAGTCCCCTTGTTGTCAATTCTCCCCCCTCCAGCTCCTGACTTCTCTGTGTGCGGTTCCTTTCCACCCCCCTACCCGCAGCGTTCTCTCTCCATCTTCTGCTTTGTCCTTCTTTGTGACCGTCCGTTAGAGGTTTTGTCATGTTCACGCCCCCAACACCCTTTAACCTGACTCCTTAGCCTTTCCTCTCCTTCCTTGTGGTCTGGTAGCCCCCGTGGTGATATTCCTTTCCTCGGTTAGTGGTCTTTTCTATTTGCTCGGGGGGACGGTTTGGCTGTTCTGGTCCCCAGGTCCCGTCCCGGGCTCTTTGACTCTGATCTCACCCGTCACCTAATCCACCCCCTAATCAATTGGTGTAGGCTTCTGTCTTGTCTCAGTCGTCTTGTGCTCGGGAGCACCTCCTTGAGTCCATGCTTCACCTTTCCGATTGTGACCTCCTTAGGCTAGACCCCCTCCGCATCTATTGTCAGTTTCACGCCCCCGCTCGAACCCCCTTATTCCTTCTTCCTTGATCCTGACTTCGCCCAAAATGTCTCACTCTGGGTTCTCTACTCCTGGATCCTGCGTCCTCCCGTCCCTCTAACCCTGTGGGTCCGGTTGGGGGCTCCTCCCCATAAACCCTTCTTCCCTGCCCCTCTGGTGTCGTCTTCACTCCACCCCCTCGTGCCTAGGTACGGTCTAGCTCACACTCCCCCACGAATTCCTCATTGTTGACGTGAAGCCCTGTGACTTTGGGTACCTCTGAACTGCTCTAGTCCAACTTGGTGTTTTCTTCGTTCTGGCTTCTGAGGCTCAGGGAACTTGAGCTGACTGCTGCTTTTCCTCCTCCTTATCCCTGCTGTCTAGGATCACCTGGGTTGTCTCCTCTATGATACCCGGCTAATCCGTCGTCCTTCTCCTCCGTGTTCGTCTCTACGGTGGTCACCTCGTTCAGTGATATTGGTTGTTCCTTCCTCCCATGAACTCGCTTCTGCTGTGCTTAGTGGGTGGCGCTTAAGGTTGCCTGAGTCGTCTTGGTGAGGGGTCCCTCCGTGTTTCCTCTTTAGAGAGGAGTGGGCTCCTGGGCGTCCTTAAGTCCTGTCCTCTCCCATCCACCTCGTCCTCACTTTGTTTTTCTGATTCGGAGTGTATTTCTGTGCCTGGCAAATCCTCTCTAATCCCGAAGTCAAGAGAGCCCACTGTTTTTGTCCCTCCATCCATTGCTAATGAGTCTCCTCTTACTCGGTAGGAACTTCATATATAGACCTTTGTTTTTAAACTTCGTGATACTCCAGCCCGACTTTCTTCGGGAATTTGTTCATTTATTTTCTTTCAAGACTGACCAACTAGTCTCATTTATTTTTTGGCGGATATTCATCATCTTATTTTGAAGCCTCTTCTTTGTTGTCGTTTGCTTGCTTATGCTTTGGGGGAGGCTTCCTTGTGTCTCTGTTTTTTTTGATGAGATGACTTGATTCCAGTGGATATCTACTCTGGCTCCCTCATAGGTTTTGAGTGAGCTGGCCTGACTTGTCGTCCATCCGTTAGCTGATCTCCCACAGATTCTACTCCTGACTTTAAAGGACGCAGGGCGGGGTCCCTTCTTTCCTTTGGGTTCTCGACTTGGTGATTGTCTGAGTCTTCGGTGACTGAGGTCCAGGTTGGAGTTTCTTGATTATCCCCTTTTTCCTTCCCACAATTCCTCTATCATGAGACGGACTATGACCCCCCTCCTGTTTTTTTGGGAGAGGTCCCTGCCTCGGCGGGTGAGGTGGGGTGGGGTATTGGCTTGTTTTAGCTCTGGGAGTAGTGCTCGGTTGCTTGTCCTAAAGTTCCTTCGGTATGAACTCTCCACGTGTCTATGCCTCAGCTGTTCCATCCTGGCCGCGAAAGATTTTGTCCTGGGGGGTCGCCATTTAGAGCTCACCTGGGTTCGACCGTCTCTTCTTCTAGCTCCATTTGGGGTAGTTTCAGTGAGTTCCCTTTACTCAAACTCCTCCGGATGGATAGTATTTCTTGTCGGTCTTCAGTGGGTGAACTGCTGTTGTTACATCTTGTGGTCATCCTCCCCACCCCCTGCAGCGAAAGTTACCAGTCGGTCAACCATCCTGTCTCTTGTTACTGGGCTTGGTCTATTTTTGTACTATCACCTCCTGGCCAAAATGCCTCCGTAGACTCCTGGTATTGGGTTGGGTTTCTCGGTTTCATTTTGGATTTCCTGTCCCTCGTTTAAGATTCTCCCATGCCTGTCGACTAATACTCTTGGTTCTTTGAGAGATCTCTTCATCTTGAGGTGGTATGTTGAGGGGGTGGGAGGATCCTCTGAGGCTCTGCTGTATACTCTCGGTCTTGGCCTTGGCGTTCCTTCTTTCTTTTTGGAACAGTTAATGGAGACTGTTATCTTTTGGTGATGTGTTTCTTAACATGTTCATGGAGTCCTGAAGCTTCTTGAGCTGTTCACCCTTCGTGTTATTGAGAAACAGTCCAGCCTGGGTTCTAATGGGGTTGTCATCCCTTATACTTTTGCCTGAGTAGTTCCTCCACTCTAGGCTTGGAGTCGCTGACTGAGGATCATCCTACGCTTCGACTGGTTGATTCGACCTCTGTTCGCTTGTGTCGTGTGACTGTGCTTAGGTGTGCTGCGGTTGCGGGTGTCTAACGACTTCATCTTCTGTGTTTTTGGACAGGAAGCTTTCTTTGATCTGTCGATTATGTTTATTAGTATTTGGTATGACCAGTTGAAGTCTCCTCCGGTACCCTATCCCTCGCTTGTTTTTCTGCTTGGATTTAGATATATAGAGTCCTCCCATATGGGTTTGATCGGAATTCTGTTGCTTGAGAGTTCTGTACGTGTTTGTATTAGAGGGGATTCAAGATTCAGTTCATTGTTTTGGTCCTGTCTCTGATCTGCTTCAGGCAGCTAGATCTTTCTCTGGGTTTCCAATATCGGGAGTCACTCAGGAGGATGCCTGTTCCGGGATTGGGGTTCCCGATGATTTATTCTTTGTGGGTCACTGGTTCTTGGAGCCTTGTCTCGGGGGCGTGTGACTTAGTGGGTCTGAACTTCGCCTATTCTAGATTCCATATGATCAGTATGTCTAAGTTTGTTGAGATCTGATTCCGTTAATTATTCTAGTTGAGATGGTTGATATATTCTCGTCTTAGTCACAGATTTAAGGAGATGGAGTGATTGATAGAATCAGTGAAAATAAAATTATTATTTTAACTTATCCGGAGCTTCCTAAAAGGCACAGTTCCTCGGGGTTGGTGTTTGGGGATCATCTGCTCACTACGAGTTTGACAGATCCGTTGCTAGGTGTGATAAAGACCCCTCTTCCTTTCTTCCCAATATTCTCTCTGACTCTTAGAGCTATTTGGTACTTTGGCAATTTTATATAGTCTTGGCAGGTCACTACTATTCTCGGAGATTTGTCGTTAGGGTATTTGGGGTGATTGGATTACAAGGATCTATACACACATAAAAGAGATTTGGTTGAGGAGATAGATTTTTTGTCTCTGTCTGCTTCAGAATGCTCTTTAGATTTTAGATTTTATTGGACTATTCCTAGATTTTTGGAGTTATCTGATTCTGGGGAGACTTCTTAGTGAGTGAGAAAGGGAGTTTGTTATTGCTGTATGCTGGAGGGAGTCGGGGTAGGAGTGTCTGCTCGAGACTTTTGGTTAAGGAAGGTCCTTTTGCTGGAAGAAATTATTAAACCAACTTGTCCCTGTTCAGACTCACTCTTATTTTTTTCCTCAGAAATATTACATATAGGCTTATTCTTAGGATTTCTATCAGACACTTCCTCCGTTCCTCTGCGTCTTTATTCAGTCCAGTCCAACTCCTATTTGAGATCAGCGGTGGTTCTCAGGTGGTTTATATACTTGGGGCCCGTGTTTATTTTTATTATTCTGTGTTGTCAGTTGTAACGTAATTCTTGTTGGTAAAATACTCCTTTCCTGTTCCAGAGTCCTCAGTCATTCTAATCAAGATAAAGGCGAAAATTCGGCTCCGGACTAGTGGTCATTTATTTGTTAATCCTCCCTTGTTTTTTTACGAAATTTCTGTCTGGTTGGAGAAATAAGATGTGTACCTAAATATACAATAGGACGCGAGATTTGTAACCTGTTTTGGTATCGGGGCTACTGAGAACTAAAGATAAGTTTTAGACTGTTTTCATTCATGGGTAAACACTTAGTCATTCCATTATTTAAGTTTTTTTTAAAGAAAACATAAAAGGAACAAGATTGTTGCCATGAAAATCTTTCAATACAATGATTTTCTAAAGAAGCATTTGCTTTAAGTAATTATAGAGTGAGAATGAGTCCTGAAAACATGAATTGTATTGTGGCATACTGTCTCGCTGATTCCCTGTCACTGGATTTTTGAATAGTTAGAAACAATGATCCGGAAGTCCTTTTCCTCTTGAGCGGGGTTTGTGCCGTTCCTGTCTTTCTGTTTCAGAGAGGACAGGGCTTTAATATTAAACAGGGCTTGATCATTCTATGGTCAAGTTTTCGTTATAAGCGGGTCCATAAATTACAGACTTTATGGGATTTTATTAATTTCTGATAAATCACCATCATTAGATTTAGAATTTTTGGAATTTAGTTTTACATCTGACCCTCCTGCTTTTAGATATTCAACTGCATTGATCCGGAGGGAATTCCTCCGCTAGTTTTCTTGTTGGTTGGTCCCTCCCTTGGGAGGGCAGCAGGATGGACAAGACTGCTAAAACATCGCTGTTCGACAGTTCCATTAGACATGACCTATAAGGAGGTTATTGATGTTCTATACCCATAGACTCCTTTTTTCAAATAAACATCGAAAAATAAGGTAGACCTGATCCAGAGTAAGAACAAAATAAGTAAGTTTGAGAGTTTCGTGATCACTTCTTTAAGAGATTTTTAGCTCATATATTTTTCTAGTAGAAACATGTAAGAAGCGACAACGAGAATTTTAACTAAGCAGGAGCGAAATAGGAATCTCCTCTATTTAAGGCCAGAAGAGGTTGCTCCTTGGTTTTGATGGGTTCCAGAATTTCCTGTTGCCTGTTTTTTATACTCAGTTGAGCATTCAGGAGTTAGAGCAGAATTGGATTCAGTGAGAAAACCCATAGTATCTTAATCTAATTCGTCGGGGAGACATAATTATACTTACAAGATGGTTATTACCTCCTCGAGGAGGGTCCCATATATATAACCTAGGTCGGATTGGTTATCTTAGGATGAACAGCCTTAAGATACCTTGAAGCGCTCTAAATCACTTCTAAATACGTCGTAGTAGTTCTCAAAGTCCTTAAATAGGTAGTAAAGAATATTTCTTAAA